GTGTTAATTGCGAGATTTTTATGGACTGTTTATTGGTTAGTTAATGGCAGTTGATGACTTTTCTCTGACGTGGATACTATGCACTTTTTTTTTTCAAAAGTTTGTTATCTGAAAATGTACGGTCCATTTGGGTGATAGCGTAGATGAAGAGAGATAGGAGAAGTTCTTGAAAAGAGGATAATGTTGCATTATAGTTTATCACACAAAGGATTGGACATCATCACCTCTCTTAGAGGAAAAACTAGTTCATGCCACAGTTTTCCCATTTGCTGGTTTGAGAAGAATTCCTTAGAGGGACAAAGGATTAGGGGCCTTCACTATTAATTCCCATCTGCACAGGGAAAAATTGAGGAATTTTTTTTTCAACCTGTGTAATTGCTTCTTATCAGAAAGATTCTATTACTATCCAGCATAGGGAAGCTAATCTAAGCGAAGGAATAAGAAGAGAATAACATCACCCGTAAAGGAAAAGAAGGTTGACATAAACGGGTGATGAAGTGGTTCTAGTGTAAGGTGACAAAAAGAGTTTTATGTCAAAGTATTGGCTTATTAGATGTAGGTGCTTCAAAGAAGAGAGTACAATTAATTAAAACTCGTTCTCCTAATTCCTGGTACATGAATTCTGGAGATACTGGCATTCGTAACATCATTGGTCTAAGGGTTTTATGTAGGAATTAGGGAGTTACAAGTTTGTCGTCATTTCAACAACTTGAAAGACCTTATTTCTATTGAAGCCACAAGAAATATCCTACAATCTGTAGGAGAGCCTTTGTCTTCTCCCTATGTTCTGGAGTCTTTGTACTTACCTAAATCTAGGGGTGTTCCGGTCCTTGAAGCCCTAATCGCCGCAGGTTTTTAGTTTTGCACTCCAGTTCAAGCTGCCACCAACCGATGCTCTGCAGCTACAAAGACGTAACCGCGGACGCTGCCACTGGTTCCAGAAATTAAAATTAAATTAAATGCATAAGGTAATATTTTTTTATTTTCATTTTTAAGAAAAATCAATTCGGCAAGTTTGCATTAGCTATGCAAGTCTAATATTGAAATATAATGAGGACTGAAGATTATATGTATACATCATTTAATTGTAAAATAAAATCATTACTATTGTATTTAGATTAAACTTTTTCTGTTTCTTTAGGCAGCTTACTTGTCTGGTTGGGATTTCATATGGTTGTTGAAGTCTTATGTGCCATCCCCAAGAGAATGATGCATCACATCATATGCGGATTAAGATTTGAAAATTTATGTTCATTCCTTAGCCTCAATGCTGACTAATGACGTTTTTGAATAGAATAAAGCCTCACATCAGTTTACTTGTTTTCATTCCTTATTTATGTTCTTGATTATATTCAATATTTATAATATAGCTTTAAGTCTTTCAATTTTGCCTCAAGATTCAAAACTGATGTGTCCTCACCATAGATTTTGGAAAAGCTGAATTCCACGAGCTTCATTTTGAACCTCGAGTCCATAACTACAGCACCTGCCAAGACTAGGTTATAGTCCTCCCAATATCTAGTGAATTTCTCGTGCAATGATCTGGTAAGGTTGCTGACAAAGAGATCCGGGCTCATAGCAGCATGTATCAGTTCTAACTAAATTTTCCACAATTCATGGAATAATGCATTTGTGGTCAGACATAAAGGGGTTGTTAGAATGTTGGCCGCCTCATAGAAAATCTTCAAGTATGCGCAGAGAGTTTCCACTTGTCTCCACTCGCCCATTGTTGGAGTGATCTTATAATCTGGATCAGAAGTATCCAGGCACGAAAATATTTCCTTTAGTTCAGAATCAACCCTCAACGTGTGATATGTAGTATGTCATCGACAATTATGTTCTTTGTACTGAGCACTTGAAGCTGTTTGCTTCAGTTTGATGAACCTTTTTTCACGAGCTTCTGTAGTCTTCAATTTGTGTTTCAATTTTATGTTCTTTACAAAGGATTGGTTGTAGTATGAACATTCAAAAATGTCATTTGGAATTACAGATGTACCTAGTGCAGTTATTAAAACAGATTTCTGATATAACAAATATTATTTCTTCATGTATATGATATCATTTTGATTATTTTTTTTTAGGTAATGATATTGTTTCCTCGTTATATATTTGTATAAGAAGAAAATTGATTTTTAAAATACAAGTGAAAAAATGGTAGAAGAATTATTTTTCTATTTTGTTAGTTGTTATAATCAAGAAGTGTTGTTATTTATTATCACTTATGATAGTCATCGTATTTAGATGATCAAAATTGTATTTGACAAGAATTATGAGAATTAACATGAACTCGATAAAATTGTCACAAGTTACGTATAAGAACAAAAATAAGGATCTGCCAAATTTAATTTAGGTTATGCTTTTTATATTTGGAAAAAAAATATTTCAAAATTCACCAACTTCAAAAATTATATGTTATTTAATACTATATTAACATTAAACTATTAAAACTTATTGAATAATCAGATTTCTTGAATAAAATTTTATTAAAACAAAAATTCTCAAAATTTCAAAGTAAAAGCATTTTCCATTTTTATGTTTTCAGAAACAATTTTTCAGAATGACAAAAAAAATGCATTTTCATAAATTTCAAAACAGACACTCAAAACATAATATAAAATGAATTCAAAACACAAAATTGAAATACAAAGAGAACAGCCCCTAGATTTTGAGTTAACCAGCAAAATTTCACTCATAAAACCTGGAGCATGTCTTCATCAATGTCAAAAATCAAAGCCAACAAGAAAAATAGCAACATGGATTTAGAAAGTGTTGGAATTAATTGATAAAGTGTTAAATAATAAAATGTGATATTTAATCATGTGGGCCATTATAACTTATTGGGTGAATTGGAAAAGTCTCCGATATAGGCCCATAAATGATAAATTGATAAGCCCAATTTTAAGTGTCTTGTATATGGTAAGGAATCCCACATCGAAATTTTACAAGAAAAAAAACTTGTTTATATAGTGGGATGTGTGTACAAGTTATAATTTAATAAGTTGCCTATAACTTAGCTAACTAGCCACCACTAGAGTGGTGCTTCACACCACTCGCGCCACGCCCCGTCTCGGTCCCGACCTCGGTCCGCGCACGTCGCACGTACTCATTGTCGCAAGGAGTTGTGGAGCCTTAAAGTTTTCAGAAATGGACTCATGGTTCGATGACATGGCAACGGGAGGCTCGATGAGTTGGCATCCTAGGTGGCACACACGTCACTTAATCCTGCGTGGCAGTTGGTTCCATTGGACGTACACGTGGCATCTGCATGGCTAGTGACTGTTCAGAAATTAGTGAATAGGCATGATGAATGGACACTACACTTTATGGTTTAATATGGACCGTCAAATCATGAAACAGTGCGATCCAATGGCTAGAACGTATCAGACCAAGTTGTGCACTAGTTCGTTAAATGTCACATACTCATTTAATGAGACACTTCAATCTCTATAAATAGAGGCCTTCATATTCGTTTTTTGTACACCAAATCAATTAATATATTCTTAATTTTTAAATTCGTTCTCTCTCCATATTCTGCATAAATTCCTACGATATTTTCGTTGTTATTCCGTTCGAATACGTTCATTCTTTGATTCGACCGATAAGGTTGGTATTGTGCAATATCGACTTTGGAAGAAGCGTTGTATCTTGAGAGACAGACGTCCATAATCCCGTTTGCACGTTGTTGGGGGGCGAAATCTGTCTTAAAGAGATTTGCCTTGGCATACCTCGCTTCATCTTCTATTTTTATTTTCTATTATTTTCTTTGTTCTTTTGATTGTGGTAGTCGAATTTTCGACAACAGAAAGATCAAATTCAGCTTAAAACACTTTCTTTTGGTTTAGTGCCAGGGGATAAACAGGAAGAGCTTTATCATACATAAAATGCTTGACAACCACTGCCGATCAACCTTGAAGAACTTTGCTAATAAATGAGAGTAGCCCATAAACTTCGTAGATTATACAGGTGTTCACAGGTCAGTTTACTTGAACTGGAACTTGCACTATACAATTCTTTTCCGTTCATCTTAAAGGTTTGGTGACAGTTACTAAATTCATCAAATCCAACAGGCACAGTCGACAAGATACAGAAATCATACACACTGATGTATCTATAATTTAGCTGCAACATCCACCTCTTTGTGCAACTGCTCCATCTCTCGCCCCGGGTTGACCTTGGGGTCGCCCATAGCCAACCTTGATACCAGATGACTGCAATTCCAAAAAAAATAAAAAAAATATATAGTATATATATAATGAGAATTCAGACGTAAAACAAAATTGCAGGAGAACCTTCAATTTCAAAGAAAGACATCGATAATCATTAATCCCTACAACCCCAACATGGTTGGGCAAACAATGAAGTACCAGAAAGGTTTTACATGCACAAGAAATGCTAATTTTTTATTGGCTTACAAGCTTATATCGAAGCCACACCATTCTTTTACAATGCATATGGCTGAGTTAACCAGATTAATGACCAAATCACCACCATTTACCTACTTGATAGTTGAATAAAGAGATGATAGCATATAATGTGAAGTGGCATTACAAGATAAACTGTGCAGAAACGACATAAAGTTGTCCAGTTTGTTTCCTAAGAACCACAGTAACCTTACCTCATTGGATACATCAAATACGCCTTCCTGGATCTTCTGAAGTATTTTTGCCGCGGTCTTTGTGAATGCCTGCAAAAGAGTACGTTAAAAGTACATATAAAATAAAATAGAGATTCAGACTGGATTACTTCTATAATGCAGAAGTTGCGTGAAGAAAGAAAGGTTTCTTAGATTTTGTTCATTCAAATGTGGCACCTCCTCGACATTTTGGGCTGTCCTAGCAGATGCTTCCAAAAATAAAAGTCCATTTTCTTTGGCAAACTGTTCTCCCTCCTCTCTGCTTACAGCTCTTCGGTGAGCAAGATCACTTTTGTTTCCTACAAGCATGATCGTCATGTTTGGGTTTGCATGCTGCCGAGCATCTTCCAGCCAGCTTGCAAGATGATTAAATGTCTCTCTCCTAGACAATAGACATCTTCCCAGTGTAAGAAGAAAAATAATTTACATTATATAAGAACTGGAACCTAAGTGGAAATACAAAAGAACTGTCTGGCCCTAGACTATTAAAATGCAGGGTAATCAGAGTTTTGACATAAGAAGATGAGCTCACTTCATGAACATTTACAAATTGTTTATGGTTCCTATTTCTTTTCTACCGCATTCAACCCAGAGTACATCTAACTTTCAAGAAAAAAATAAAATTTGCACATCACGTGACAATACTTGGTACACATGCGAAAAGCAAACGAGTGTATATTGTCTATATATCCCTTTCTGTTTAATGAAAATGAATTGATTAAATATGAATATCCACCAAAATTACTAAGCCCGTGTTTGAGCCTCATTCTTTAAAAACTCATTTTTCTCCAAACTCATTTTCAACCACACATTCTTCCAATAAAATATTTTAACACGTGAACCCAAAATTTTCCAATTTTTTTAACTATACATTCTCCAAAAAAATTACTATTACACAATCTATTTCCCAAAAAATGGGGCTCAAACAGAGCCAAAGTAACCACTAACCAAAGCCTTTTAATCTTGCAGGAGTGAACACAAGACTCACACAGCATAGCCACATTGTAATACCGTTAACCATAGCTCCAAAAGTTTTACTCCATGTAAGCAAATTCTGACCTGAAATCATCTTATTTTTTCATGATACGTAAGAGTTGTCTAAATGTGTCCTAAACATGCATGGAATCTTATCAGTCGCACTACTAAAGCTAATAAAACTGACCATCATTCAGGAAACGGTTCATTCTGAGTACAAAAAGGGAAAAGAACAGAATATACGTAGACCTACCTGGTTATGTCATAAACAAGTAGAGCACCAGCTGCTCCCCTGTAATATGATCTAGTGATGGATCTGAAGGATTCTTGGCCAGCCTGCAAGAAAAAATAAATAAATAAAATTGGTTGACTTATCTGTGAAGAGCAAACATAAACCAAAGACAATTCTGACAACTGAAAGAATTAACTGAATGACAAAAGGATGGAAAATTTTGAATACATATTTGCATATCACAAGAAATCAGTATCTTATTTAGAGTCAATGTTTTTAAATGTGTATCTCATTCCTTCCCAACTAGAAGTTCATTTTCAGAAGAGAGTCTGTACTTTTTGAAGAAAAGAATATAAGCAAAGATATATTGCAGGCAGGAAAGAGACTGGACTGATCATTCCCATATATAACAAGCACCAGAGAAAATACAAACATGGAAAATTGGTATGTTTAATTCGAAATACAAGAGATGATGTGCATCTAGATGAAATCTTAACTTGATGTGGGAGAATAAAGCCCGAATCTTACAATTTTATAAGCAGGCCGATAACAATAATAATTCATCCACGCTAAAGTTTAACCGTCAATAGAATTGAAAGAGACCAACAAGAAGATGAAAAACAATGAGCTACTTGACAACCAGACAACTATCAAAAATTCATTCCCTCAAACATTGCTGTACAAACTTCAGACTTCACATCCTTTACTTCTGTAGCATTTCCCCCTTCCCTGGGAAAAAGCAAGGCAAATTCAAAGGGATTTTGATGCAGCGCTTGGGGCAAATATGTCATGGCCTACAACATACCATCTCAACAACGGTTGATACCACGAAAGAGTCTGAGGTGGAACCGAAGTTTCAGCTACTGAGAAAACTCATCTCCAAATATACAGAACTAAATCGTTCTAATTCTTAACATCCAGTCTAAAAGATCCTCTTCAAGCAAAAATTACATAAATGAAATAATCTTATTTCAACAACCAAAAACTAGGAGCGAGAAAAAGCTTATAACTAAATTTTGCACGGGTCATGACTATATGCCAAAAAGTCTAAACTTAAAAGCAAAATATTCAATTAAAAGGATAAATAATTGTAACCAACTACAAAAATTAACGCACAGCACAGCACAACTAAGGATAACAAACAACGTATTAGTAAGTTACCGTGTCCCAAATCTGAAGCTTGAGAGGCCTGCCATCGATGGTGACCATCCGAGCCCCGAATTCCACTCCGATTGTGAGATCATGCACGGGCTGGAACCTCTTGTCGGTGAATTGTAACAGAAGACAAGATTTCCCCACACCTGCACGAAAAATCAAGCATCATATACGCGTGTAGCTACTCATATACTAGGCGTTTTATTGAAAAATAAAGGACAAAAAGAAAAGAAAAAACAGGAAGGAGAATTACCAGTGTCTCCGATGATTATGTACTTGAAGAGGTAGTCGTATGACATTTTCTCCGATTCGATAGCTGGTGAAGATAAAGAAAAAGAAAAGGAAAAGCTGTATGTATCAGTGTATGTATATGCCGTGTGCGCTTTTTGCTGCCAGAAGAAAAGAAGGAATGGGACGCTACGATGGACGCTGCTGAAGTCCATATTATAGTGGGTGGGGTGGCAAATAAAATAGAAGGAAAATTTGCATCACTGGACCTCGATTTGTTACTTCAGTTAATAATAAGTTGGTGTCAAATATTTGAAAAGAATCAATTTTATCACCAATATTTCGTATAATTTCACGGTTAATTCTGAACGGCGAACTGGTCAAATCTCTAGTTAGGGTCCATTTTACATGACTTTTGAAAAGTTAAAAAGAATTTTTGAGATCCAAAAATTACTTTTTGAACTTGTTTATTTAATTTTATAAAAGTGTTTTTTCTATTGTGTATTTTTTTTTAAAGGAAGCTGATTCAATTTAACTTCTTTTTAAAAGATATCGAAGGAGATAACTCTTTTAGGAATTAGTTTATATAATGTTGTTTTTTTAGAAAACTTTACTACAAGAAGCAAAAGTCATGACAAACGATACAGTTAATGTTTTGAAAAACATGCACTAAATCGTCATGTTTAACTTTGTGATTCTAGATTTCCTTCTCGACTTGAAATTAGAGTTGTACGTGAAATTCATATGATAATTTAATAAAATTTGAATGGTTTCTATCATTTGCAATAATAAGAAAAGCTTGGAGATTAATTTACTCATTTTTAAAAGTTGAGGACCAAATGTGAATTTGCCTTAAAGACAATTTCGTTTGTTTTGCTCAATTCTTCTTTTTCTCTTGGGTGGAGTTTCTTGATTATATTAGAGCTCACGTCGAATGTGCTAATCCAATAATCCTCTTTACGCAAGTGAATAGATCAAACTTTCTGGTCAAAATCGTAGTTATCTTTGTCATGTAAGAACAATTGTTTTGTGCAAATGATGTTTCAAATCGTTCTTTTTTCTTAGAGGACTTGAAACACAAGACCTCCAATTCTAATATCAATCAATGACAATTACATAATCAACTCCTTTATTACTAAAGACGAGACATAGAAATCTAATTAAAACTTATAGGATACTTGACAAAAAGGACATCGTCATAAAGAATCGTAAAAACTTCACCAAAACGTACCAAACTTCATAAGGTTTGAAACTTGACTTTCACACTTCATATCTTTTAGAACCTTGATATGTGAAGAGAACTAAAATGCATGAACTTGTTGAACTGTGTGTATTGGGGAGGGAAAAATAAAAATAAAAAAAAGAGGCTGAATCACTATATATAAGTAATCCTTTCACTTTACATTTTACAAGAAAACAGGGTTCTCAGCTAAAATTGCAGGGAGAATAACCTATGATTAATCCCTGATCATTTCTCCAGAAGTATTGTCTCGATCACAGAAAATATTTTAACAGCAACCATTATAAATCTTCACAGAGCGTCCTAGCTTTTTCAACGGCTGTTACATAGTAATACAATCTCCATAATGTTACTATATCCTACAAAATTACCAACTTCAGAATTAGCTTTACACAGGCTCAAATAGAAACCATCAATAAACAACCAGATCCTCTGTATCTACCTCGTCGTCAAGATCAACACGGATCTCATCACTAGAAGTATTCTTGGATGGATTACGATGTCTAATAATTTCCGCAACACGATCAAGATTTCCAGGAGGTAAACTCTGAATCAACAATGCTTCGACAACGAAGAGCCTTAGGTTCATTGGCCTGTTGGTGAATAGTAAGACTAGTGAAAACAAGCACATCTAAAATGTATTTTACGAAATATCAAATCCTGAAGGTGGTACCAGCAAAAAAATTGTAAATATAACATTCTAGTAGCCCCACTTGAGACACATTGCCCGGGTGATTTTTATTATTATTATTTTTTAAAATTAACTCTAAACCCATACATATCTCTTATTTACACACAAACACACTGAAACGCACCCATGCGTTGGGAACAACAACCAAAAAGCCACCAGCTATGTCAGTGCAAGGAAACAAGAAGAGGAGAAGATCAGAAACCAACGAGAAATCCAGTTTGTTTATTCCACTTGGATTGATGGAATACATTAAAGTCCAATATTTTTTTTTCCAATTCTTATTCTCCCAAGTCCCAAATACACTTTTTAGTATCTGTGTAGATTAGATATCTAGTGTCAATCCAAGACAATTTTGAATATTATTTCATTTGGTGGCGATATCCATCAGTGGCAATGCAAGGCTGCAAGAAGAGGAGGAAACAACTTCAAAGCCACCAAATTTTCACACCAGATATGTTCCTACAGCAGAGACAGTGATTCGGTGAAGGATTTAGATTTAGGGATATAAGNGAGAATACTCACCTTCCGCATGGATGACCTAGGCTCAATTCTCAGAAAAAGAAAATATTTTTTTTCCTCCAAGCAATTTCCCTCCGAAGAAGGTGGTCATGGAAGGGAATTTGCCATCCCTAACTTTCACTAAGAACAAAGGGCAACCAGCTAAGCCAAGGGTCTAGTCTCAATATTAACTAGTACAGATTGTGAATGAAATGTTTGCCCATTTGTTCCTGCTGTATTCCTTTTCTTTTCAATTTTTCGTTCCATTTCTTCTGGTGATGGGTGGGAAGAGATGAGGGGCGTTGCAGTGGTGCCTTTCTCAACATCCTCTCGAAAACTTAACGTTGACCTTTTCAGTGTTCCCTTTTATCCTCTAATATCTACAATTACATTAAATAATGAATGTCTCAAACAACCTAAAATGATGGGAAAAAATCTCATATGGATTATTAGTTTATTACTATAAAGCCAAGCCACTACTGAAACAGCAACGCATATAAAATTATTCCAAGAGAAGGAAAGCATTTCAAAGATGTAAAAAATAGAAGATGGAATTAAGTACAGTAAACTAGACAAATTCCAAGAGTTCGGACACAGAAAAAGAGCGCCTGAAACAAACTAAGAAGCAGTAATCAACTAGGCTCTACGCAAGTACATAAAAAAAGATACCTGCAACTGGACATTACAATGTCAAGAAGTTCTTCAAGCTTTTGTTCCATATGGCAAATCTGTAGAATACACCCAGCAAATTTTAATTGTGGATGAATTGAAGATATCCAACATGTTGATGATTGATATTTATAATAGTTCACGCATGCAAGGAAACTACAAAAAGTGAGTCTTGATATATAAATACCATGGTGGACAGTTCATCAGAATACTTCTTCATCAATTCCTCTACTTTTGTACTATCACTCTCCAAGATGTAGCGTAAATCGCCATCAATCTAATTGATAAAATGAAATGAGCAATTTCATATCAGCAATATTTTCACAGCATGAAAAATTGTGATAAATCATAGTTCGCAGCCTTGTTAAACAATATTCATGAATATTTAATACATGTTTTTCAGTGACATTCATCGTCGAGTCACCATTGGAGTTCAGGTCATGGACGTTGATATTCGAGAGAGTGCATGCACACACAGAGAGAAATAGGTAGAAAAGAGTATGATATTCTTACTTCTCCAATTTTTTTATGAACAATATCAGGATTCATTATTGATTCACTGTTCTAGACCTTTCTAAATCAGAGTCCAAAGGAATTGCACATAGACTTGGAAAATGGGCACATTACAGGATAAGTACAGTCAGCTCTCTAATAATAATAAATAGTTATCTAATGATAATAATAAAATTTATGGAAACTAGTTCACTTAGTTTCCCAAATTAATGGTTCTAATAGCTAAAAGTAACAAGAATTTTGATAATAATCCTCCTATATTACTAGGTGAAAATTTCAGTACCATTTAACATACACATTCAGTAGTTTTATTCTATTCCCAATTAAATTTATGTTATCATTTATGAAGAACAATAAAGGATATCTTATAGTGAATTAAAAGAATCTCACAGAATTGACTGCGTTATAAAATTTCATATAAGAATGTAAAAATCTGCAGATGCCTGATTCTGTTGTAATTTAATGGTGCAGCAAATGACACAGAATTGACTGCGCCATAAAATTTCTTGTAAGAATGTAAAAATATGCAGATGCCTGATTCTGTTGTTATTTAATGGTACAGCAATTAACATGGAAATGACAGAAAACATATAATTATTGCTTTGCAATAAGACTAAACAAATATGTCCATCCCTGATTCCACAGCAAATCAGTGGTCATTCCAGAAAAGCACTGCCTCTACTTCACAAACTATGAGTATGCCTCAAAAATAAATAATAAAAAAATAATAATAATAAACCTTGTTAGTGGTGATGCATTTTCTATGCTCGTTACGAACATCTTTAAAGATCATAAATGCATGTTCATTTATTAAAAAGGACATCTTAAGAGTCAAGAGAGCAAAACAGACAAAATTAATTTAGTGCCTACATTTTGTTCAAGTACTGTCATATTTTCACCGTGATAGGTAAAGCTTTTTTGATGTGAGGGAATTTAGCATAAGGGGCTGTGAATGCAACCCAGCAACCAGATTTTTTTTGTTCCTGTTTTTACCTCCCAAGGTTATCAATTATTTGAGAGTCAATTTATGTAAGTATAAATCAATCTGCCACCAGAAAAACAATACAGCAACAGATAGGAAGAAATATCAAGTGCCAGGCACCTTGGTCCGATCAGACCCAACCCACAGTTGAGGGGACTTCTTGACATCATTGGATACTTCTTTCCCTGGTACATCCAAATGCACGTGTTCATTTTCAGAATCCTGTATGCAAGAAGGTAAAAAGAGAAAAAATGATAATTTATCCCAAAAAGATCTTGGCCTTCAAAAAAATACAGGACACCTAAGGAGCATGTTGAAGAAAATACGGCAAGCATCTTTGAGATAAACAAAAATATGAAGAATTAAAGAAGGCATGCCAAAAAACCGCTTATTATACAGCAAGATCACAAGCAACAAATCTCTGCCATGGTCGTGCACTAAGACAAGATATCACTCCACATGCATCCCCATCAAAAGGTTCTTTAATAACATTATCAAATTCTAATGCACAGTAAGTGCAAAATAGTAAAGTAAGAATCTTCAAAAATAACCTTGAAAAGGTCGTTGTATTCAAGTTGATGATAGAGCACTTAGTAATGAAATGGTGACTGAATTCGAAACAACGAAAACAGCAAATTTAACGCATGTATGCAAGGTTAGATCATATTCACAGCCAAGCCACCCAGCCAGAACTGCTACAATTCAAATCCCTCAGGAAGCACAGCTGATCTACCTGTCATATAGGACTCTATCTGAATTTTGATTGTCATCTTAACAACCCTTTTTATGTCTGTGCATGTTTGAATTTTTATCCTCTTCTTTTTAATATTTTTTTCTGGCTATTTTTCAGTTGACAAGAGACAAATGATAAATAAAAGTGGAGTCTGGTGTTGAGAGAGTCAACAACAAAGTATTTCCCAGACATTTATTATAATAGTTCCAATGCTTACCAATGTGGGAGGCGATACTTTGAGCTTCTTCTGAGGGTGTTCCACTTGATCGATTTCACATCCTGAGCCTTCAAAGGTTAATAGGCTATTTTTGTATCTCAAGCATGATTGTATTCGACAAATCGAAATCACAGGATCTATCATCTTCAACAGAGTTAGGTATAGAGTGAGGATACGTTAAAGAACTTTCTATAAAATTAATGATGAATGCATATACATTGCCCAGTTTTCCTGCTCCTCCAAGAAAAGCTGTAACACTATATCTTATTCAGATCCAAATAATCAATGCATTTGGTTGCTCATGCCCTTAAGTCAAAAGCGGGTAGCAGAGAAAGATTGAAAAAGAAATGGAAATCAACATGTATTTACCTCATTGATTTCCTGCCCAAGAGTAAGCACACTTTCGCAAAGCAATGACCTCAACCTTTCCATTTTAAAGTCCGGCAGTAGAGAACCTATTCCATTAGTGTATAAAGAAGTAGAACCACTAATACCACTGTTCTCTTTTTTTATGCAACTGTTCTTACTTATGCTCTTGTCTCTGTCCAACTCAAGAAGGTTTCCAGCTAATCCAGAAATTTGAGGTAAGAAAGGCACAAAATCATCATCTTGAGACAATAACTCTGCTACTTCACTCGTATAGAAACCAAAGAAGTCTGGTCCTATGTTGCCGTTTTCAATTGCAGCTGTCATATCCCTTGATATTTCTGACATTACACCAATAATCATGCCCACTCAATGTTAGAAAATAATTATACATATAAGAATCGACACGGTGTGATGTAACACAATCCCAATTAAATATTTTGATGGAGACGAGCAAAAGCAAAGCCAGGAATAGAATCCAATGGGGGCATGACTGAAATAAAAAGAAATTGAAACAAGGCAGTAAATATATAAATTTTAAAAATGAAATTTTTTCTATACATTACAATTATGTCCTACAGATTTCATACTTTGAAAACACGTGTATAATGACTTCAATTTCAAATTAGGAAAAATGGCAAATATCTAGACATACATACTTTTAAAGTTAAGACAATAATGGCGTCCTAATGAGTGTAATTGAAAGCTGATTAAATTTTAGGATACACTTCAATTATTAGATGACATCTTTGATGAAAATGAGTGCAGTATAAATTCAACAAAAATAAAATAAAATGACATTGAGAGTGAAGTAACATTTCCTAAAGATATATTATACTAGCAGGAAAATACAGAGTATATTACCACACAACTCTGTTAATACATCTAACGAATCCCTACAGCAACAAAAATTGACATTTAGTAACAATCCAACATGTGTTCAAGTCGTTAACTTGTGTTTTCCATTTTGGAAAAGCGCGTGCCCTTCTTACCCTTCACACGTTTCTATGGTGTTCCCATCTTCCTCCTCACAGATTCAATTGATACCAGGATTTAATTTAATATGTCTTGAGGAGATGTCATGAGTTCAAATCCTCAAAGATGCAACAGAAATCCGTGAGAATGAGATGGACACATGCTCTCCCAAAATGGAATTGCGTATGATGAGAACAAAGTCCTGATCATTACAAAAAACTTGATCAATTCGTAGCAGGATTCAACTTAAGAAGGTTATTAAGGAATTTAAGATTTCGAATCAGATTGAAAGTACATATGTACTAACGGCTTAGTAACAGACCAAGTCATTACAATTTAACAAAGAAGATTTGAAAGTTAAATCAACAGATAAATAGATGAAAGAGAATAAGAAAATCTCACCCGGTGAATCCTTCGATCATGGATTTCTACCCCTAATTCTCATTTTCTAAAAGCAGGGAGATGGATTTTGAATTTGGAGTCTTACCCTCTGTTTCTCCACTGGCCCATAGGGCCCAGGCCCACGGGCGTAGATCTTATACTTGTGCTCGTGTGATTGAGATATTCAACTACGTTACAATTTTCATTCACATTCTTCTACTTATTTTTAACTGTACATTCTTCAATAAAATAATATTTTTCGTCACGTTAATAACTTTTTATTATTTTTCAACAATACATTCTCCATCAATCTACTATTTCAAAATACATTTTTTCAAAATAATGTGGCTCAAATACACCATGACTGAGTAATACTATTTACACATACACATTATTATAGAAATAAATAAATAAATAAATAAATACTGATTGTGCTATATGTATATAATAATTTATATAATGACTTACATGCATATTATGAGATATGATTGTGTCAGATTTTTTTCAATCAAATAAAAAAGAGTTACAAAGTTGGTTGGAAAAATAACATTTACACCAATCATATTAAAAAATAGATTTTTAAATCATTTGAAATCAATTATCTGAATTTTGCAAACACACTTTGTAACCCAACTTTTGTAACTCAACTTTGTACAAATAGCTTTATTGAATAAAAAAATAAATTATTCACTCTCTTTTTGACACATCATCTGTATGTAAATCATTATATAACTCATTATGTACAACATTATTCAATAAAAAGAGGATTTTGCTACTTTACCCCTGTTTGAGTCACATTATTTTTTTCATTCACATTTTTTAATAAAATAATATTTTTCATCACATCAATAAATTTTCCTTTATTTCAACCATATATTCATCATCACATCAAACAAAAAAAATACATTATTAGACTCAAAATGAACATCAAACAGGGGCTTATAGTCCTATACAGTTTTCTTTACACATTGTTTGCCAAATGTTAAGATGACATACATTTTGGACCCTAATTTGAATTCAACAAATGCATAAAATAATTTATGTACATGTAGCTTAATTGATAAAAAAAAATAACTCATTCAATGTCATTTATCTGCACACAATTATGTACAGGATAATATAGAAATAATATTACTCTTGTCGCACTAGCAAGTTTTTTCAATAAATGAAAAAAAAAAAACTATTGTTGAGGTCCTTTTTATTGGAAATAACACGTCTTCAACTTCGATTTAAAGCAATTGAATCCCCATTATTATAATTTTATTGCAAGTGACTTCCCAATAGATGGTTTCTACTATTTAAAACACTGGAAAGTTAATTAAAAGGATCATGTTACATGTGCCAAATTTTTTTACTGAATCTTTTACCCACTACTCACAATGAGATGGGGACCACATTTTCAAAATTTTTAAATATACGAGGGCCTCACGCATTATGTGAGACGAGATAATTCATTATATACAAATCATAATGGTTTTAACCCTGAAGGGTTGCTCAATTGGTTAGGTCTTGGATTTGCTTCTCAATGGTCACCAATTTGAGTCCCATCAAGGTTACTGAGGTGAGTACTCGACCGTAAACTTTAGGGTCCCGTGGAATTAGTCGATGTGGGCGCAAGCTGGTCCGGACATCCACGGTTATAAAAAAATAATAATAATAATTAAAAACAAATAAAAATTAGACCATTGAAAAGAGAATGACGTGACTACGGAAATGTTGGAAAAATGCTTTTTCCGTTCCAAATAATTTCCTGAACACAATCTCTAAATTAATTTTTTTCGTCGATAATAATAATAGAGTTATTAGTAAGTTATATTGTAAAATAAAACTTAACATAATTAATTAATTAATAATAGAATTTTCATAGTAACACAAATTTGTAAAAATATAAAAATATATATTAATTTTAGAAATTTGGCAATAATTAAATAATAATTTAACATTACCAATGACTTCTCGTATTAGGCAATGCTTTATAAACCAATCCAATCATAGAGAGAGTGTGTCAAGGATCAAAAAGTTGATCCGGAATTGAACGGGTGATTTTTAAAGAATTTGAAAATATACATTTACATAGGTTGAGCCGATTAAATCAGGACGACTGGACGAGTCACGGGTTTTCCAAAAATCGACTGGTTTAACGAATTTTGGGACTAGTTTTTAATTAGAGGTTTTACAAACTTAATCGGACCTACGAATTTCAATCACGAATCATTTGCAATATTAATTTTTTTTTTTTTTTAGAATTGCTTTGTCGACGATTTTGTGTAAGATCATATATTCTTGAGTTGTCTCTGAATAGTATTTTTTACTAAAGATTTATGGAAAATTCTTGTGGTACATTATGGGATTCAGAAAGGGATCCATAATGGACACATTGTGGCCTACAATTGGTTGGAGTGACTGTGGGACCGGCACTCCAACCAAGTGTAGGCCGCAAAGTGTCCATTATGTAGACCCTTATGGATCTCATAATGTACCACAAAAATTGTCCAAGATTTATATATCTTCTACTCAAAAAAACATTTGTTCCCTTACTAAAATTTGTGTATTTGTTGAGTTTAGTACCTAATTATTGGTTTGTGTTTGGAAACAATGACGATTTGCCAGTTTGGACTTCAGCACAAGATTTTGAGAAAAAATGTATTTTGAAATAATGATTTTTAAAGAATGTGATTTTATATATTAAAAGTGGCTATGTAACGGAATTTCTTGATTTTAGCCGAAAAACTAACGGAATTTGTTGTTTTAACGGATTATGTAACAGAATTTCTTATTTTAAACAGGCAACTGCACCTTCTTTCAGTGTTTTTATCATAACTTTATATTCCGATATTCGATTGAAGCGATTCAAAATGCGTTGGAAAGTTAACTCATCTGACTACAACTTTGATTCAGACATCATTCTCCAATTCGATCACTTTCTATGCCAAAAATAGGTCTCAATATGAGACTAAAATATCGGAGCATAACTTTTCGGTTGAAAATTGATTTATCATCATTCTCCAATTCGATCACTTTCTATGCCAAAAATAGGTCTCAATATGAGACTAAAACATCGGAGCATAACTTTTCGGTTGGAAATTGATTTGTGATCATCTTTTGACTAAATTTGATTCCATTGACGTCTTCTTTTATCCAATTGACTCCGAGCACTCTCAAATCTTCATCGTGAGCCTTTCTCGAAATTTGTCAACTTTTGCTTATTTTTTTCGATCTCACTAACTTATATCACAACATCAAAATCACACATCTAATTATTTATCAAAAACATTACATCATTAATTATTTAATTAACCAAAAAAAATAAATCTTTATTAATAACAAATTAATTCTTAAACAAAACTATTAAATATAAACTACGCAAACGTGCATTGTACGTTGCTTGCACCTAGTGTGTGTGTATATATATATATATATATAATTTTATTTTATTTTTTATTTTATTTTATTTTATTTTTTTGAACAATTGCCAAATACTCCCTATAGCTCAGTGATAGACTTGTAAAATTAAAGATCGACCAGTTCCAAATGGCTGCTTCAATCTTCCTGAAATTCATGAGAAGCAGAATCTATATGCTACAAAATTGATCCCCCATCCTCCATTACCGCTACCATATTTGCTTGCCCAATTCCCTCGAACCACTATATTAGCTGATCAAACCCCGCTTTGCTGTCAAAGGAAAATAGCGGATTGAACTATTGAAGGTTGGATCCTCCCATATCTTCACAATTCTACCCGAGCTTTTCTTTTGGGTTTTTTCTGCACCCAGTTTCTTCTTCAGTCGGGTCAATTCGATCTGAACCCTATGACGAAACCGTTGCTGGGAGTTCTCGCACTATCTGGGCTGATAGTGTGAAGAAGAAGAGGAAAAGGAAGATGAACAGGCACAAGTTGAGGAAGCTAAGGAAGTCTCTCAAGAACAAAACGTAGTTTCACTATTTCTGCATTTGCTTTAAACTTTAATCATATGGTGGGTTAGTGGTGTTTCTTTTTTGCGGATAGGCGGATGGCATTGAACTCAGCTTATTTTGGTTGCATTATGGATAATTTTATCAGCATTTTGTTGTTGAACATTTTGCTTATGCTTTACATCAATTGTTGAGAAATATATTTCGTGGTCAAGTAATTATAAGTATAACGAAAGCTGTGTGACTGAAAATGATCTAGAGTTCATATTCTATAAAGCTGATTTGAGTGATACTAGTTGTAGAAGAAGAAAATTCAGCACAAGATACTCGAGATGGAAGCATAAATGCTATTGATTTTGTTTATGTAAATTTCATAAGAATTGAGCAGAACCTCCCGCAAGAGAAAACTTGGGAGTGTGCTCACTGTATTCAACTATTGCTGAAGGTGGAAGATGACCAATGCAGATCTCATGCACCGTCGAGAAAAGAGGGAATAGCTCTAACCATCCCCGGTGGCTTAAAACCTCATAAACCTCTTTTGCCGTTGAGACACCCTTTCAAAAGTTTCAAGATGAGGTTAGATAAATCGGGCCAACTAACTTATTGGGAAAGAAATTGCTCTGAATATGAATTTTATGTTCTAGTTAATGCGTTATCTACCTGTAATTTCTGGCCCTGTAACATCTCTGCTTCGAGCTCATCGAAAGACCTGTATGGAGAAGTTGAATAAGGATTAACGAGCAGTTCTGCACTAACATTATTGCCTAGTAATTAGATCTCTCGTTTAGAACACACCTTTTCCCGCCATTTCTGGCAAAAGCCTCGGCACATTTCCTGTTTCTTCCCCCCACTGAAATCAGAACACATCACAACTTTCATATATCTACCTAATACTGATGAAAAATTAGGAATTCACCAAAAGGACAGTAGTGCATGTTTGGTATGATCATTGAACAAGATTGGACGAAGCTTCTTTTTGCTACTTGAATACCATCTAGTGCTATCTAATTATCCCTACTAAATATGTCACAGAGGCAAAAATACTCCTACTTACAGCAAGTTGTTATTAGATCTGCTATACCGCAGCTCTCAAAATAAGTAGTATCTTTGACAGAATGGAAAAGGAGCTTGGAAAAGGCCTTCATTTCCCTCAGACCAATTCGCATAATTGCAGCCTGGTAAATCATACATGACCAACAATCAACTTATCCAATGTGTTGATACTATTGCAGTAAGTTAAACTTAAAACTTCATTTGGCTTTACCTTAGTGTTATTTCCCATCTCCAACCCATCCACAAATCCTGTTCCATCAGTCGAACAATAAGCCATTACTCAATACATTACAACTCGACAAAAGGCAAAGTGATGACACAGCAGAACAAGTTAGTACAGACCTGCTGCAATAGCCACAACATTTTTCAGCGTTCCGCATAGTTCAACTCCTTCCACATCTTGGACCTATTTTTATTTATTTAGAGTGAGAAGAAATGCCAACAATGGCTTATAAGTTGTTGGAAGTTGAGTAAAATGCATATTATCACTCACAGCTGAGACCATGAAGTATGAAGTGTTGAATAGATGAACCCATTTTTCTGCAATCTCTTTATGTTTTCTGTATCCAACAGTTGCCTCACTGAATTTCTCGACTGCAATCTGCAAAAGCAGCGGTCTACTTCTTACACGAATCATTTTAAAATATATTCTGAATTGAGAAATATTTTCTTATACAGAGTATAATAAAGAAAAAGAGAAGATGAATAACCTCATTGGCAATATTTGCCCCCATCAGAACGCAACAATTAATTCCAAGCTGTTCAGAAATGAGGGTAGAGATCATGCATGGACCTTCCTTCTTAACTTCCATTCCTTTAATCAGAGAAATTGCTTCAGCATCTTCCCTTATCTTCCCAACAAGCTTTCTGCATATGCCCTCCATGAATTGATGTGGTGTTACAAATACCAACATGTTTGCATCCCTCACTGCCCAAATTCCCCATTATAAATTATCAGATGCACTTCACGTTTAAGATTAAAATAAATTTGCCCCCCTTTATCTTCTTAAACTTTCGAGTGAGTTAGTTAAACACGGTGACATTTAGGCAAATGACGTGATTTTAGGTCTCAGCGCTATTAAATTTGTATATGAGTGAGGCAAAATGAACCTAACATGCATGTGAAAGGGCATTGAATCATGCGAGGATGTTTGTTTGTGCTTAAAATTTACTTTTTAACAGTTTACGACTTGGTTTCTACCAACTTGCCACGACTTTCTTGTACAATCTTGGGAATTGCAAATACCAGCATTTTCAAGGTCAGGGTCTGCAACAACATTTTCACCAAGCTTTATTCCTGGAAGATATTTAACATTCTCCTATGGAAGAAGACATTTATAACAGAAAAATTGCAACAATTAATACAAGAACGAAAGAACAGAAAAATAACAACACGCAACATTGAGAATTAAAAAATTTACATTGGTTTGATTGATGACTTCTGAGAGTTTTTCTCCCGTAGGCAGTGTCTCCTCAAACACCCACATCCTCACTTCATCTGTGTATAAAATTTCAGTTCAAACATTTAAATGCTTTATCAATAAGACAGGCTTGAGACTCGAGCGCCATAATGAACAGAGAGTACGAAAACATGCAAAGTTAACACCCTCAATGTGAGAATTATGTTCAGGCGATCAACGAAGGAAAAGAATAAAAGATTTTCTGATACCTTTCTTTTTCACAAAAGGGCAGTCCTTTACATAATAGGAATATAGATAAAGAAAAGATGCAAACCATGAAAAGAGCTTAGCTTCCGGGTGTTGGAGGCAATGAGTTTAGCGGCAACACTGCCCCAATTGCCACTGCCCACAACCGTGACTTTCGATTTGAAGGGCGGCACTTCATTTTCAACTCTGGTGGTATTCTCCGCCTCCACCGGTGGCTGCTGAGATTCTACTGTTGGGGTCATGAAGAAGACAAAAAAAGGAAGAAAAAATTGGGGCAGATTGCAGAAGAAAAATGAAGGAGTGGAGAAGAGGAATATTAGGAGTAAATGAGGAACGGAATTAAATGGAAGGGAAAATGTACATTTGGGCGGAGAAGCCAGACACGTATCGTCAGTATCAATGTCTGTAATGCTAAATCTGGCGATCTACTCTATACCCACAAAGTTTGACAAAAACAAAGAAACACTTGTCTTTCAAAAAAATTCGTTTACACTCCCATTCATATTGTTCCCTTCTATTTCGGTTTACAAGCCCATACTTAATAAAATTTGGTCCATCTTAGTCTAAGTTATCCTCGATTAGGATTAAGCAAGTTTAGTACGTTAGATTTAATAGTATTGAAAAAGAGACAAGTGATAAAATCGTTCATTTCATCAAATAATCCAAATGAGCGACTATTAATTCTGTTATTGACATTTATATTTAAAATCTGATCTCTGTTCATTTTATATGCGTTGAGCTGAATTACAACGAAACATGTTTACTAATTACTAGGTTAAATTTATCAACTGGAAATAAAGATAAAATTTGTCGATTGTCATTTTCTTATGAGTGTATAATATAATCGGTCACAAATTAATTAAACTAAGTAATTGTACTATTGAAATTTAATGTTCTTCGTTCTAGCGTTTCTCTTACCAACCGCCTCTTTAATTTTTTAGACAAATGGAACCTAAATTTATAGCGGCATTAAATGGCACCAAACTATAAACAAATTGTAGGTTGTGCCTTGTGACTTTCTCAATCAAAGCCAGCCAACCAAATTATACAGTTTGGTTGAGCCTCATGTTTTGTTTAAAATGCATTTTGAAATAGTATTTTAATAGAAAATGTGTGATTAAAAAATAAAATAAATTAATTTTTCGTATAATGAAAACTGAACAAGGGTATCGCACGGTCAACCAGGTACCTCATTTGTCAAAGCTTCTATTTTTACTTCTGCTTCTCATTAAAAAATTCTTGAGAAATCTACTTTAGGTTAGATTACTCGAAAAAAATTTAAAACAAATAAAACACTTCCATAAAATTATTCAAATATGCTAAAAAATAATTTCAAAAATAACATTTGACTTTTCAAAAGCATATCCAACAGGTCCTTATTAGCTCTTTTTCTGGATAAGTATAAATACAGTACATATATTAGCTGTTAATCAAGCCCAGTAAGAATTTGCAGCAAAACCAAAAATAACGGACTTGGCAACACTTTTGCACCCAAAAATATGGAATTTTTTTTTCCTCCACAGAAGCATTATACAAAATTTTGTATACAATCAATGGCTAAACTCATAAGGGGGTGTCTCTTATTTGGATTAAACTCATAATTCTACGCTAGCCACATGGTCCTGTCAGTCCAAATACAATTACAGATAATAGTACCTATAACTACAATCCAAGCCACAAGCTTGTTCCGGTTCCATGATAAAAACAATAAAAAGAAAATCTTCAGAATGTAATTTTCAGGGAAATCAACGTGTTCCTTCAATATCCAAAAATGGTAAGATGCCAGATGATATAGTCAACTGATTATGCAATACGCACATCAGTTCAAGAGCCTAAATATAAAATAAAAATTTCCGTAGGTATTTCTCCTCTCAAGAGTTGAGTAAATCACAATGTTTGGAAAGGGGGGAGCAACGCTGGACGGCTAACAATGCTGTATTTCAAGGAGCTCTATCAAAGGGTTTAGTATCATTGTAACAAACATCCCAAACAGCTTCCATAGCATCCTTCGCAGCCGATTCTGAGCAGTATGGGTTGGCAGTTACGGATTTCATCACTCTTCGCCTCACACAGTCCTTCAAGCATTAGTATAGAAAAAGAATGTTCAGATATCAAGAAGTTTCTATTAGTACGCATACAAATATAACATAATACAGAAGTAAGTTAGCAATGGTTAAAAATGAAATAGAAAAAGCTCAGCCTATTTATTCTTGAGGGTCATGCTCCAACTTCTAATCAAGAGTCGGAAATCCCATTCAAAAACGTATTTTAATTTTTTGGTCTCACTCTTTTGTCCCCCACTATTATATAAGACCTAGACAAAACACAAGAAAAATTGCCTTTGCTTTTTGTAAAAAATAAAACAAAGATGAGATGGTAACATACACAAAATTAAGAGGATGTCTGAATTGGAAGATAAATGTCCAAGAGACAACACATATCGCTATAGTAACAAAGATTGTTGTCTGTTGTGAGCATAGAAGTGACAAGAATGTGATAGAGGTTGCATTTAAAGGTAACTCTGTCCACCTGAGTATCATAAAACTCATCCAATCATGACCCAATGTTGCATATTAATACTGCCTTGCATGACCTAGACTATATGCACATCCAAACGTTAAATGGATCCTATGAATGTGGGGGGCAGAATTCTATTACCATAGGGTCTAATGACTGACATGGACCAGTGAACCTTCTATAGAATACCTTGGTCATACAAAACATTACATCACAATTTTAATTAACGGGACAAATATAAATGAACCTTACAGCCACTCACATTTCTCCATCTGCACAGGATGCACAGTAAGATTAAAGATTATTTTAGGAATTACAGCATCTTTTCCTCTCAATATCATACTATGCACAAGTACACTCGATATCAATTTACAGGTTGCATTAGATAAACTTTTAAGAGTAAATTTCACCTACAAGTGATTCAAAGCAAATCAGAAGTCAAATAGAACTATACATCTGATCTGTGTTCATCAAAGTAGTTCACAAGTTACCCTAACATAAATAGGTAGAAGACAAATGACAGCCTTAGTTTTCAAATAGTTTGTAAGTGTTAGTTTTAAATTCACAGAGACTGATAAATCATTGAAAGAAAAATGAATTACCAATAACAATATCACGTGTTTCTAGAAACTCATATGTATTTTTATGTGATGTGCATAAAGGGAGAAATGTCAGTTTAAAACTCATAAATAATGGAAGAGCCTTGAAGTTAACTGCAATGTGCAATGACAATTTACTTTTGTAAATTCACACGAGTCCTTGAAATTCTAATAAAACTAAACTTGAAAAAGTTCACATAGAAAACCACTAAAAACATTATTTATCTACCTTTGTTTACCCTCGATAAATTTGTTTTTTCGTTTTTCTCCATTTGCAATCACCATTGAAGAATTTCAAAAGACTCCATGTTAATGCATTTGGTTTTATAAATGTCAGATATAACAGGAAACATCACGCAAACTATGCAGAATTCTGATGGAAGAAAGCTCACTTGTTCATGACCTCGTATCTTCACAAAACCGCGCAGTAATTCCCTTTTATAATGGCAATCACCACTAAGATGGCCAGCTCGAATCTAATTTCAGAAAAAAATATTAAATAATACATCAACCAGTAAGAAATAGAACTCCAATATGAAACTTAGCAAAAAAGAATCACATAATGAATGAAACTTCTTAACCTCACTGCAAGCATGATGAGCACAATCAGACCAGTCTAAATTCGCAGCACGACATTCATCATATGCATGAATGAGTTCATGAATCACAACTTGGTTCACCTCATCTTGAATTTTCAAGTGATTACTGCACACTACTATCTGTAAAAAAATACAAATTTAATAAACCAAGAAAAGGTTGGCTACAGTTTTAAAACAAAATCTTAAATATTTAACAAAAAATCATAAATAAAATTGGAAGTAATCACTTATCAGTTATCACCACTATCTATAATACAGCAAAATCCTAAAATTGATTTCACCGATAAATACATTTTGGGAAACGTTCCCATAAATCGAAAAAATTATCATCAATCAGTTGAAAAGTTCGGATCTTGTAACGAGTAGAAAATCAGTGGATAATCACTTAATTACCCCTTCACCGCGAACATAGCCGCCACTGACTTTCTTATCACAATGAACTGCCTTGATGAAATTGCCTCCAATATTACATCCAGATTTCTCCAGGTGCTCCTTCAGAAATTTAACCATTGGAGCTGCAATATATAAAGATACACAGATGTTTAAATATAAGGTTTAGAAAACCCTAAACCCTATAGCTGATAGAGATGGTAAAGATTCGTGAAAAATAAAAAAGAACAATACTTCTAAGGCTCCTTTGAATCATGGTATGGCATTCGTCTACTGTCATACCGCCGTTGACGGAGGAGGATGGCGTCGAACCGGGCTCATTCGCCATCTGTGTTGGGTCTCTTTTGGTAGACCCGGGAGAGATAAAAATGTCACCCGAATCCCGATACTTTTTACAAAAATGTCAACAGCCCAATAATCAGGCCAACACTAAAAACCAGCCCAATTAAGGGAGAATTACACCACACACCCAGGGGCAAAATTCACTACCCAATCCCCACACACAAATCTCGCCAAAATTTTTTCTCTTAAATTGAATCCTTACAATTCTCCTAAATCAAATCTTCTTCGACCTCTTTCAACTTTTAATCCATTCCAAAAGTGATTTTGAAATTCATACCAGAAAGAAGCATGAAACTTGAGGTTGATAGCATCATAGAGAAGAAGGCAGAACCAGAGTCATATTTTGAAATCTTAACCAATCCAGCCAGGGTGTTTCCTGCTCAAGAAAAATTTAAAAAATTCCTTCAAGAAAGCAAATATTTAAAGGTCTCTGATCTCACATTGATTATCTTAATATACCCGATTAACGTGGAAACATAACATCAAATAGCTTACCATCCTTAAACCACCCAAGCCCCAAAATAAAAACAGAAAAGGACAATAAACAAGCGATAACCATAAGACATTACAAGCAAAAAATAAATGTAATGTCCAGAAATACACGACAACATGAGAAACTTAAGATTAAGAATACGTAATTAGTGATTACTGACCTCAAAACTTCAATTTCCTCAGAAATGTTAGAGAGAGAAAGGGGAATCGACCAAAGAGTAGAGGGGAAGTGAGGAATAGAAATTACAAATTAGGTTTGGATTTGAATTCAATCGATTGATTCCGTGAATGGACTCTTCAATAATTTCTTTTTTGGGAACAATATTTGGTATTTACTTTGCACTATTTCAAAAATACAAAAACAAATTCCAAATTTTACAAATTTTTTAATTTTTTATTTATGAAATAATGAATTATTAAATCAATTTATTATTAAACATTTAATTCTAATATAATATAATTACCTCCACCCCACCTCCACCACCCCTACCATTTCACGAAACTATTCCGACTATCGTTCTGGTCACAATCGATTTCCAGCAACCGTTCCGACGACTGCTCCGATTTCGACGACTATTCCAATGATCGTTCTGCCTCCACTTTGTTCCAGCAACTGCTCTGATTTCGACAAGTGTTCCAACTCCGACGAAAAATTTTAGGTCACAATTCAAAATTTTCATAGGTCACAATTTGTTTATCGGTCACAACTTAAAATTTAAAAGTCACATTTGTTTGTCGGTCACAAATCACAAAATTTATAAGTTACAATACTTATTTACGGTCACAATTAGGTCACAGTTCAAAATTTTCATAGGTCACAATTTGTTTGTCGGTCACAACTCAAAAATTTAAAAGTCACAATTTGTTCATCGGTCACAGATCACAAAATTTATAAGTCACAATACTTATTTACGGTCACAAACATCACATTAATTGACACGTAAATTATATTTAGGTCACAATTTATCAAATTATTGGTCACAAATTAATAATTTTTAGATCACAAATCATGTATTGGTCACATTTTATCTAATTCATTGGTCACATATCGTTTATTAATCGCCAACCGACCAAATTAGTGGTCACAAACAACAAAATTATTTGTGACCACTACCAAAATCATTTGTGATCACCGCTTCACCACCGCCTCCACCAGCGGTATCATCCCCAACACCACTATCACCACCCCAAAACCCCCCATCGACACATGCACAGCCAAAGCAAACACACAAATCACACACAGAACACACAACCACCGTTGTCACCAACTTCAGATCAACACTTCGCAGCGCACAAATAACCAAATAATAAGTTTACAAATCACACACAGAACACACAACCACCGTCGTCACCAACTTCAGATCCACACTTCGCAAAGCACAAATAACCAAATAATAAGTCACATGTAACCACCGCCATAGCACCACAACCACCAATCTCACTAGTACCGCCAACATCACCCCTGCCGTGCCACCACACATCACAACCACCTAATTACAAACACCACCAGAGTTTGCTAACCACCACCACCAAGCTGAAATCAAAATCAAGGCCGACAGAAATTAAATATGAGCAACGGAGAAAAACTATATCCACGTCGTCGCGACTACAGTCATCAAGAAGCGCGCACGACGACTGGAGCATGGTGGAGAGAGAGATCCAGATCTGTTGAAGAGAGGAATAGGGAGACGGAGAGAGAGAAATTCAGATTCGACCTCACGAGAGGGTGTCGACAATTTCGTTGAGAGGGAGATGCAAATGCAGATCTAGATCTGGCGGAGAAGAAGCAACGAGAAGAAAAAGAAATGGTAGAGTCGTCGTCCCTTTCACCAACAGTCGCCGTCGTGAGGTGGATTCGCCATCGTCGTCGCCATAGTGAGGAAGAAACGGTTGGGTAGTGAATGCGGTGGTGGTGGGAGGAGGTGGCGATGTGGAGAGAGGTGAGAGAAATGGAGGCAGTGCGTGGTGGGAGGATAGAGGGTGGAGGGGAAGAATTGGTTCAAATGATTTAGAGTTTGGTTGAGTCAAATTATTTTATTGTATATAGTTATAAAAATAAAAAT